CGGGCGCCCCCTCGTGTCCCGCGCGGGCGCCCTCGCGAACTCTCGCAATATTCACCTTTTCTCACTTCAACCCCCCTGCCTCTTTTACCGAAGCGCCTAAAAAAACCGCGTACGGAGAGCGTGGAGGGAGAGGCTTCCTCGTGCCGACCCCTCGCCCCGCTCGCCTCAAGCGTCAGCGCTCCCTCAAGGCCCGCGTGAGCCTCACGGGTCACTCCATGCCTGAGGCAACCCTTAACTGAGGGTTATTCCCTCTGGAAAAGAGGGTACAAAACAGCTTCACGGGGTGTCTGCTAATGCTAACAGACCCTTTCCACCTTTAATGTTGTAATTTTATGATTATCTAACATTAAAGAGGATTTTCTGATTCTTCAGAGGAAGATTTAAAGTACTTAATATCTCCACATGTTTGCAAATCACTCTCCAAATCAAGCAGGCCTGGCTCTGTCACAAGCCTTTACTCCTATTCCTTCTTTCTTACTTTTTTATTTGCCTCACAGCCAGTGAATCAGATTACTCGCCAACCCCTATTCTAGACATTTCCTTAGAGCAGTCACATGCCAAACCCTGGCATAAAAATTACCATTTTGCTGCTCACAAGTGATGTACAAGGACTCCTTAGGACATAAAAGCACAACCTGCCACCCCTAATGCCCATCAGTACCTTTCAGGCATAGTTAAGTGCCCACAGGATGGGCTGAGCTGTATTACAAACTTCAAGTCCATCACAGTCAACAAAAGTTTCAAAAAAGATATGGAAATTACTGCTGATCAGGAAATACGATTACGTGATGGCAAATTATTGCTTCTCTCCACACCCCCAAAATTCTCTAAGCAGTAGTTCAAATCCTCTGAAATTCTTCCACTGCAGAGAACAAAGGTTTAGATAAAAGCATCTGACCAGCCATAGCAGAAATACAGTAAAAGACCATGAAAAGGAGCTGTCATTTTTTTAAACCCAAATATATTCCATCCTAATACAACTAAAAAAGAACAGCTTGGGGAAAAGGCAGCAATAAATAAAGTCTTTAAAAAAATCTCCTAATTCAGAAGAATATGGGTTGAAAAGTCCTATTATGCTAGATTTCTATAACTTCAAATGTATCCCTTTCCAAGAAATTAACAGGTGACTAAAAATGATAATCCAAAATTTCAAGAAAAGAGAATGTCCATTTACCTCAAATCAACATTAAAGGCTTTTTTTTTTTTAAATCTATATTCATGTCATACCATGGCAAAAGCGTGGATCCAAGATGATCTGCCTAGGGAAACACTGTATTCTGAAGTGATGTGAAACACCTCCGTATTTAGGGTTTCGGGAAGTATAGTTTTATTGTACAAATCTAAATGTGAAAAGAGAATTCATATAGTACTGCCATTATAGACAGTTTAATAATGCCAGACTGCAAAAACTGAACCAAGAAAGCATCAGGTAAGAAGGAGCTTGGCTTGCCAGTCAGTGACACTTCCATGTCTGGGTCTTGCTCCGCTTGTATATGCAGCTATTGTTGAGGGCAAATTGCGTCACAAGCCTTTGAGGGCTAGTGCTGGCTTTTCTGTTGCCGCCTGTAGACTATGCAGTCTCTGGCTGATAGGCACACTCTCTAGGCAGTGCTGTAATCAATAATAAATATATAATGATTTTAAAAATATTACTGGCCCTCTCCAATTAGGCACTAAAGCTGTTAATAGCTGGCTGCCAAAGATGTGTCATAGCAAATGAGTACTTTTGTAGCAGTTTTTACACAGGGATGGATGGACTGGTTTTGCTCAGACTTCCCAAAAATACTCTTTTGGGAAGTGAGCAGAGTTCAGATGTGAAAATGTCATCCTGAAATCAGAAAGTTGTGGAAAGAGCTTTGAAATGAAAAGCTCGAGTAATTTTAATTATAGTTGCTTCTAGATTTAGAAAAAAATACCTCACTGTATGTAGGCTGAAGCATTTTAACTCTTAAAACACTACATGCTATCACATATTTTACACAAATCATTCCGTGAATTATCAAGCACTTCTTCCAAAAATGTGTGCTGCTTCCAAGCCTAGCACTTAACTCTCCTGAACACTTCTGGACATTTAGAGACTGGTTCTTCACATCACGCAGTCTCAGACCAATATGAAATATCACAAAACTTGGGAAGGATGCATAACAGGAAACAGAAATTATTTTTCATGATGCCATTCATCTCTCTTCCTTGCAATCTCTGAGAGAGACAGAAATTTAAGTTCAATGGGAAGTACCTCACTCTAGAGAAGGAAAGTTGTGTGGTAACTGAGCTAAGCAGAGTTCCGGCACCTTTTAGTCTCTATCCTCCTGTCACGGTATCATTCAATACCACCACACTCAAGCTAGAGAGATTCCCACTCAGATCACTTTTTTAAGATTGGACGGGCTCCTCTAATTCTGAGACAATAATAACGGCAGTTACAAATCAAGCAGTTTTTCTAAAATGAGATATTAATAATTCACAAGAAAAGCATTTGAAGAAGTATGGATTTAAAACAACACACTATAATTGTATCTGCTTATACATTAAATACAATAGCTCATTATTCCCTATATTTGGGAAGTCCAGACTCCTCAGACACTCTCAGAGAGCCTGTCCTTATTAGCATGCCTGTGCAAACAACTGCTCACCATTCTCCATCAAAGAAGTTTTTTTTTTCTTTTTACTTTCTTATTTTTCCATGTCCTCTTTAGATCTCTAGTTCTCAGTCTAGTAAAACAAACTTTGCAGCAAGTCAGAGCTTTGAAGCTAACAGCAGGCTGCCACTGTCTTCCTGGCATGTTCCTATCTAGGTAACCATCACGCTGCCTTTCTGTGCTTTTCCCAATCAATTCAAGTCATAAAATTTTCAAATAAATGGAATCAGAGAACCACAGAATAGCTGAGATGAGAAGGGACCTCTAGAGATTGTCTAGTCCAGCCCTCAGAGCAGGGCCGCCTAGATGAGGACCATGGCCAGTTCCATTCTGAGCATCTTCAAGAATGGAGACTCTACAACATTTCTGAGCAACCTGTTTCATCAGCTGTTTCATCATTATTTTTTACTTTACTGCATATCCACTTCATCTCATAAATGATATCATGGAGAGTGACATCTAGCTAAAGCTGGCAGAAGAAATCCTGCATTACAGACACCTTAGAGTTGGGGGGTTTTGTTTGTTTATGTTTTTTCAATATTTACAACAGGAATCTTTATCTTTCACATGTGACTTGAGGATAGGTAAGAGTAAACATCCAACTTTGCATAATCCCAGTCTTTATTCCATTTAAATTTCAGGGTGAACTATACTCATAATCTGTGGCTTAAACCTATTGCTTAGACATGGTTTAAAATGTATCTCTTAATAAATCTCTAACAGGTATAGATATGCCCACAAACCTTTCAGCTTTAAAGGAGATTAAAGACCATATGCATATACGAAAGAGGAATCCATCCATTTTCCAAAGCTTTAGCATCCCTGAGCCCTCAGAATTTTGGAAGGCCTCTCACCACTCTGCAATGTGACAGTGTTTACTTGGTGAACTACCTGGGCAGCAAAGACAACAGCAAATTAAGGATGCTGCACCAGAAATATCTGCAGAAAGTGGAAAAACAAGTGAAAACAGACTAAAAAAACACTTGGAAAAACAAGTAAAAACAGACAGACTGCAGACCTCTGGTGGACAAGAGTGGCTGCATGAGAACACACTGCATGGATCTTAAATCCTCCCATTTCATGATACTTCAGCTTTATTGCAGACTCTAGATGAGTAGTAATCCCATAGATATAATCTCTATTGCAAGTGTGAGCATTAAAAAGTAAACAAATAAAATCATCATGCAGGTCAATGCAGCCCCAACAAAGAGAAAAACGAAAAAAAAAAAAACACACACACACAAAAAAACACTCTAAAATATGTTCTCAGGCTAACAACCTGAAGGGAAAGAACAGGTCAGTGAGTTAGTCATGGGATTTTTTGGAATTTCTGAAAGATTTGGGTTTGAATTCTTTAGTTAGTTGTCTGTCATATTTTTTTTTCCATAGGGGGGGAAAAAGAATAAAAACATCCTACCTCCTACCCTCATCTACAGCTTTCTCATGATTCAGCTATCATGCACGTGTGGATAAGCTGGCATAGTTAAATGAGTCAACGAAAAAAAAATTAAATCAACCACTAAAAAAAATAGCTATTTTGCCGATTTGGCTCACTGTGCAATTTTCCAGTAAACCTTCAATATATCTTTGCATCAGTATATCTGGAAGTAACACACCTCCCTGGGAGTGGATGTGAGGAAAGACCCTTCCTATCCCTGGCAGCCTGCAGTTGGAAGAAATGAAACGTATCCTAACACTCAACCTTCAGAACAGCCACTAAAGACACCCCAGATGGGAGGAATGGAACATAATTACCACGTCCTGCTGGAATGTGCAGGGCAGCTAGAGCTCAGCTGGACCTGGAGGTTTGACCTGGAATCTATAATAGAAAGGACAATCCTAATCCTGAAAGGTCTTATGTGAGCACTTTGCTTTTCTTTCAACTGGAAAATTGCCTGGGGGCTTTTGTGACCCTCCTCTTGAGCAAATCTGCAA